CACACACACACACACACACACACACACACACACACACACACACACATATATATATATATATATATATATATATATATATATATATATATATATATATATGTATATATATATATATGCATATATATATATATATATATATATATATATATATATATATATATATATATATGTATATATATATATATATATATATATATATATATATATATATATATATATATATATATATATATATGTATATATATATATATATATATATATATATATATATATATATATATATATATATATATATATATATATATATATATATATATATTTATAAACACACACATGCGTGTATATATGTATACATACACACATTCGCGAAGCACATCTCGCCCCGCGATATAATTCCTCCCCAATGACATCAATTCCACAAATTTTGCTAATATTTTCCGTCACGATAAATGTTTAAAAAAATAAGAAGAGAAAAACGAAGCCACTAAACCTCCTGGACGCTAATCCAAGAAGCTAAGTCGACAGGCTGAAACGGCGAGCGACAATTTGAAAAGCAAATTATACGTTGTTTAGCGACAATTGCGCTATATTTCTGCTCGGGAAGGATCCCAGTTCCCGTTTTAGAAGGAGCCGATGTGCATTTAACTGGAGCGAAAAAGAAATACTAAGCCGCGCGTACACATACATACACACGCACAAACACATGCGGGTACATACAAACATGCGTGTGCATATACATATGTGTTTTATTTACGAGCGTATACGAACATACGGATGTACATTCGTGCGTACATAATATATACTGTATATTCGGGCATATGTACGTATATGCTGAAATACACACACATACACACACACACACACACACACACACACACACACACACACACACACACACACACACACACACACACACACACACACACACACACACACACACACACCAAATTGATTCACAAGGGATGAGGGTGTCATTTGACCTGGCTGTTACCGGGCTGTCCAAGGCGACCTTCCTCCCTCCCTCTCTCTCCCTCAACACCCCTTCGAGGTGCTGGAGAAGGAGATGGAGGAGGAGAAGGAGGAGAAAGATGAGGAGGAGGAGAAGGAGGAGAAAGAAGAAGAAGAGGAGGAGGAGGAGGAGGAGGAGGAGGAGGAGGAGGGATGGGGGAGAAGGACGAGGAGGAGGAGGAGGAGGAGGAGGGATAGGGAGGAGGAGGAGGAGAGGAGGAGGAGGAGGAGGAGGAGGAGGAGGAGGAGGAGGAGGAGGAGGAGGAGGAGGAGGAGGAGGAGGAGGAGGAGGAGGAGAAGAAGGAGGAGGGAGAGAGAGAGAGGAAGATGAGATGAAGGGTGAGAAAGGTATGAGGAGGAAGAGGAAGAGGAGGGTGAAGATGAGGGTGAGGAGGAGGAGCAGGAGGAGGAGAAGGAGGAGGAGAAGAGACGGTGAGGAGAAGAGCGAAGACGGAGAGGAGGAGGGTAAGGATGAGCGGGAGGAGGATGGAGTGAGGAGGGAGAGGGGGAGGGGTGAACAAGAGGGGGATGAGGAGATTGAGGAGGAGAGTGAGGATTGGGAGAAGGAAAGTGAAGACGATGGGGAAGACGGTGGGGAAGAGGAGGGTGAGCAGGAGGAGGGGGAAGAAGGTGAGGATAATTACCTTTATTAATGATATAAAAAAAAAAATAGCAATGATGATAATAATAATGATAATGATAATAATAACATAATAATTTTAATAATAATAATAATAATAATTCTTTCAGCCCACTTTCCCTCCTTTCTCCCTTTCTTCCTTCCCCCTTCCCCCCTTTCCCCTTACCCCGTTTCCCCTTCCTCCTCCCCCTTCCCCCTCCCCCCTTCTTCATTCTATCTCCAGAGATTCCTTGAAGGTGATCGCTCTGGGAGAACATGAGAGCGAGGAACAGCGTACGAATTACTATTCAGGAAATGTACATACGCATTGAGAGAGGAGATTACTTGTTAAACTCTTCCCTTCTTGTGTCTGCGTGTTTGTTTGTTCGTTTGTTGACTTCTTATTTTCTCTTTTCGTTTCTTTTGTTTGTTTTTGTTTGAGGTTATCGGTTTGTTGGTCTTTTTTTTAAACGTTGTTTCGATTTTATTTGTATTCAAGATTTGCTTTCATTTCATTAGTCTCTCTCCCTTTGAGATTATGGGTATATGTTCACATTTTTATTTATTTCTATCTGGTTATGTCTGTCACTGTGTTCTACCATTGATTTCATGTCTTATTTGTTTGTGTCTGTCGGACTGTGTTCAAACTTTCTTTACATTTTAAAAATATCCATGACAAGTAATCTATATTTGTTTTCTATTTTCTTTCATTGTTTTACTCCCTGCCTACCGGTTCGTTCGCCCGTTATTTTCCCCACGCCGACAGCATGCAATGAAACATTCCCCGCTCTAAATGCTCTTAAGCTAAGGATTCCAATAGCGCCGATGCTGATTGCTTTGATCCAGGCATTAAGGACCATTCGAATGTTAGGA